CCATGGACCAGCTAGCGCGGCGTAGCCAGTAGATGGTGTAGTAGTGCGGCGCGGGCATCCGCGTGGAGGCGGCCCGTACGGAGGCCGGCCAGATGTCATACAAGCCATTGCAGGCGTACATGGACGAGGCGAGCATTGAGAAGCACATGCAGCCATGGCAGCAGGTGCTGGCATTCATCGCGCGCACGCAGGCCGCGCAGGCGAGCCCAAGCTGGGTTAGGGATGAAGATAGTGATAGTGGTAACGGTGGTAGTGGCCGTGGCAAGTGGCTAGGGAGGTTGCCCGTGTATGGGATGACGCCGCGGCAGTACTAGAAGTGGCAGGCATTATGGCAGCTGGCCATGCCAGCTGTTGAGAGGCCCGAAGCTGAAGCCTAAGCTAGTGGCCAAGCGCGTGCGCAAGCCCGAGCCAGGCCAGGGGTGAGGTCGTACATACGTTCGCTGGGGCCGGCCAGATCATTGAGGACGTGTGGAGTGCCAGTCCCAGCCCAGGTAGTAGCCCAACCACCGTGATGGAGATGGACGAGGAGACAGACGAGGAGATAGATGATGGGGTGGAGGCTGCAGCTACAGAGGTGGAGGCGTGGCAGATGACCCCCATGGAGCAGGCGTGCTTAGAGTTTTGCATCGAGCTAATGAACCAGCGCCACCACACGCACGAGTACGAGAGCGCGCTGGTATGTGCCATGGCCGTGCAAGGGTGGGGTAAGGCGCGCTGGCGCGATCCCAGCAGTTACCCGCCCATATTATCCCGCGTGCTCAAGGTGGCGCGCTTCATGGTGGTGTAGAAGGCGTTATGGTTAGACCCCCATGCAAAGGAGATCATCCGCATGTGGACGGGCCATCGGTAGCCAGGCGGTAGCGGCAGCGGCCCTAATACATGGCTGTTGACCAGCGCCGATGACTAGCTAGTGGATATCCATATCCATCTAGGGGATCCAGCCCAAGGATCGCCATTAGGATCACTACCAGGATCAGGATCAGGATCAGGATCAGGATCAGGATCAGGATCAGGATCAGGGTTAGGTGGGAAGCTGTTCCACGACCATGTCTAGTAGATGGTGCGCAGCTTCATGATCCGCGGCACGCACGGCCCCATGCAGACGTTGCTGGATTGGCGCACGTACAGGTTAAAGGTGCATTACAACACCACCACGCCAGGGCATGTGGGATGGATGGGCAGCGATGAGTTATTATACAAGGACGTGCATTTCACCATGGGCGCGTTCCGCGGGTTCGTTCATGGGTTGGTAGGATCCGCGCGTGAGCTGCTGCGGGAGGTATTATATATATCCCCAACCGCCACCACCACCACCACCACCAGCAACACCAGCAACACCAGCAACACCAGCAACACCAGCAACACCAGCAACACCAGTAATAGCAACACCACCACCGATTTCCCACCCATCCCATGGTCCGGATTGTACGACGACCCCACGCAGGGCCAGAAGGGGTGGTGTTTTTTACAGGACACCCGCACGCGGTGGCCAGTAGATGGGAAACAGTGGTTGATCCAGCGGCTGCATAGCGAGCCCGCCATGCAGCGCCAGTTCATGCGCCGCGGCCAGATGCAGGCCTAGCTAGTGGCGCAGTATTTGGCCCGCGTGGCCCGGTTCAAGGAGAAGCTGGTGGTGGCCATCCACATCATGGGCGGCCAGCCCGCGTGGGCGCCCGAGCTGTTGAGCATCCAGCACGTTAACACGCAGGCCAGCCAGCACCGCAATATATTCATTGAGGATGGGCTGGTGACGGCAGTGACGGCGTACCATAAGGGGTTCCACGCGAGTAATGACATCAAGCTGATCCACCGGTACGTGCCGCGGGCGGTGGGGGAGTTGATCGTGTGGTACATATGGTTAGTGTTGCCGTTCACTGAGCAGTTAACCGCGTGGCAGGCAGCGCAGCAGCAGCAGCAGCAGCCAGTAACCCAGCCAGCAGGCAGGGCATTAGGGTTAGGGTTTGATAGGGGTAGGGATGATGCCCAAGCTCGCGCGCCCAGGGTAGGGTTAGCCTACCCATCCAGCCAACCTGCAGGCGCCACCACCGCAGCATCAGGGTTAGGGTTAGGGTTAGCCAGCCCGTATTTATGGGGCCCCGATGCCGGCACGCAGCGCGCGTGGACGTCTGACCGGTTCCGCGAGGTGTTGAAGCGCGAGACGCAGGCGCGGTTAGGCCAGGCATTAAACATCCCCGCGTACCGGGACATCGCCATTGGGATCAGCCGGTGGTTCATGCGTGGGGCCAGCGCGTTCAGAAGCAACGCCTATAACGAGAAGGAGTAGCCGGCCGCGATGGAGTTTAATGCCAACCATGAGGAGGGGATAGACGCAGAGTAGTGGATGGCGCACATCGCGGATTTACAGGTGGCGCATTTATCACATGTGGCTGGGATGGTGTACGCGCGGCAGATCATGGAGCAGGCGGGCACGACTAGCCACTAGTGGGCCATGTTCTAGTAGTCTAGCATAGAGTGGCATGAGTTTTTAGGGTTTAGCCAGGATGATAGTGGTCAGGCCTAGCCTGCAGGCAACGGGGCCCGCGCCCCAAGTGGTGGTTTACAAGTAGTTAGGGTTAACGCTAGCCAGGGCCATGGCTAGGATAATGGTAGTCATGATAGTAGGCAGCCCGCAGGCAATAGGGCCCGCGCCCCAAGTGGTTTACAAGTAGTTAGGGTTTACCACAGCCAGGGCCATGGCCAGGACGATGGTAGTCGCGATGGTGAGTAGCCCGCGGGTAGTAGGGCCCGCGCCCCAAGTAGTTTACAACCATGGTTAGTCCCCATGGACAAGGCAGCTAGCGCCACAGGCTATTTACAACCATGGTTGCAAACCCCGCGCGCGCCCAGCCTAGACTAGCACCATCCCACCACCACCACTAATATTAGGGTTAGGGTTAGCCATGCGCAGGAGGATGGTGGGCAGCCCATAGGCAGCGGGGCCCGCGCCTCAAGCAGTTCCTAAGTAGTTAGGGTTAGCCCCGGGCAGCCCAGCGGCCATGCCAATATTAGGGTTAGGGTTAGTCCAGCCACCACAATATTAGGCAAGCGCAAGCGCGCGCCATGGCAGGCCAAGGCCAAGGAGCACTAGTGGGAGTGGCGGTAGTAGTTACAGGCCATGGACATGACCACCACGATATAGTAGATAACCAGCCAGGCCCGCATGCAGTTCCACGGGGTCCAGGGCCCCACTATGGTGGCAATCCAGCAGGGCCGCAGCCTAGTGGTGGTGATCATGCCCATAGGGGGTGGCAAAAGCATGTTATTTATATTACCCGCGTGAGCCATGCCTGGCGGCACCACCATCATAGTAGTCCCATTAATATCATTACGCCAGGACATGGCGCGGCAGTGCCGGCAGCTAGGGGTGTCATGCGTGGTGTGGGACTAGTAGTAGCCGCCCAACAAGGCCGCCATCATATTAGTAACACCTAAGTCCATGGTGACAAGTGATTTCCAGTCATTTATTAACTAGTTAGTGATGATGCGCCAGTTAGACCACGTGGTAGTAGACGAGTGCTATATTATCATGAATACCTAGAAGGATTTCCAGCCGCAGATGGCGCAGTTAGGCTGGTTAGTACGGGCACGGTGCCTAATAGTGTATTTAACCACCACATTACCCCCGTAGATGGAAGGCGAGTTTAGCCAGCACATCCATTACCCGCGCGACTAGATATATATATATCACGCTAACACTATTCTGGGCCAGTACCTGGGGGAGGTACAGCGCAAAATAAAGTCTTGGCAGAGGGGGAGGTACAGAGTTGAACTGTGTACCTCCCCT